AAAGAATGTTGTTTTAACCTATTAGAACACTCGCCCAATAGCAATTAGACGTATATATGCTTTAGTAGTTATAAGAATAATAATCGTTTGGTTGGTTGGTTGGTTACCTTTTATTGGCACAAAAGCCATACAGGCTATACTGCGCCACAACACATGGTGCAATTCAAAGTAGAAAATAAATAGGAAGACATATATACACATAAACAAAACATCACAGTTTAACCATTAAACAGCCAATGGTAATATAAATATAAAATCTATAATATAATGAATAAATAAGTAACAACAAAAATAAATAAATAAGCGACAACAAAAATAAATAAACAAACAACAACAAAATATATATACAATAATTTATATATGCAACTCAACGTAAATAAAACTGTACAATAATTAATTCATCAGATTTCCCTATACATATTAATGACTTTTAGAAAGTCCAGTATATTATCCAGATTTGGCCTCTGGCCCAAAATGTCTCTAAGGCTTGCATTTCCGAAATGCTGTCTACGACTCTGATCAAAAGCAACACAGTTGCAAAATATGTGTTTAACACTTACAGCACAGTTGCAGTGCTGACATACTGGTTCGTCATCTCCCTTCAAAAGGTATTGATGAGTCAGTCGAGTGTGTCCAATTCTCAGACGAGTAAGGATAACCTCAGATCTCCTATCATATTGCCTATTATGTGTCCAATTTTCTACCAAAGGTTTGATCTCGTAAAGTTTATTGTGGATTTGTGCATTCCACATGATTTGCCATCTCTCGGCTAGTCGTTTTTTAACAACTAGCTTCAAATCACCTCCTTCAATACGCATTGTATGCTGTGAAGGGCTTGCTGACTTAGCAGCTGTATCAGCTTCTTCATTACCTCTTATACCCACGTGGCCTGGGACCCAACAGAACTTCACAAATAAATTTCTTGTAGTGAGATGACAAATTAGTTTCTGAATTTTAATAACTAGAGAGTGAGAACTAGGTTCATACGAGATCAAAGCCTGAAGTGCACTAACTGAGTCAGTGTAAATCACGCAGCAACGATGACCTTTCCGATTTATATGCTTTAAGGCTAAGTAAATAGCCTGCAACTCCGCAGAAAAGATGGAAGAATTCGGTGCTATTTGTTCTGCCACAATTTCATCCTGGCAAACAAAGGCTAAGCCAACATAGTTATCCGACTTAGATCCATCGGTGTATATAGGAATTAAATTCCTGTTACAATGCTGAATTTCTGCGAAGTGCTGTCTATAGACGTAGTCTGGCGTGGTTTCTTTAGGGAACTGCTTTAAGCTTAAATCAACATCGATCGGTGAAGATGACCAAGGTGAAATACTATTAACCTCAACATGTGAGATGTTGCTTGTGTCTAGGTCAATCGTGCTGCTTACATTCTCCATTCTTATGTCGAATGTGGGGACACAACTCGTCCGAGCGGCAAATAATCTTTTCAGCTGAGTATCTGAACAATCAGCTGTAAGTTTTTTCTGAGATTTTTGTTTAATGTAATAAAAGAGAGACAACTGTTCTCTCCTGAGAGATAGTGAAGGCTCATAAGCATCCACATACAAACTTTGAACAGGGGAAGTTCGAAATGCACCGGTGCACAAACGCAAAGCTTGATGGTGGATTGGATCCAGCATCCGAAGAGTAGATTCTCGCGCAGAGCCATAAACAATGCAACCGTAGTCCAGCTTAGAGCGAACAAGGGCCCTATAAATCCTGAGCATCGAAACTTTGTCTGCTCCCCAGGATGAGCAGCATAGTACCTTTAAAAGGTTTAAAGATTTTAAACATCTACTCTTCAGGTTGCGCAAGTGTGGCAAAAATGTCAGTTTATTATCGAAAGAAACACCCAAAAACTTAGTCTCGTTCACCATTGGGATTTTATCCCCGTTTAGGTAAATTTCCGGATCCAAATGCAAACCACGCCTTCGACAAAAGTGGATGCACGAGGTCTTTTCCGTGTTAAAACTAAAACCATTAGTCTTGGACCAATGGTCTATGCGATTTAAAAAGGTTTGTAGTTGTCTCTTGATAAAACTCATGTTGCTAGACTGGCAGGAGATCTGAAAGTCATCCACATACAAAGAGTGTTTCACACTAGGGGAAGACAGTTAGCTATGCTATTAATTTTAATTAGGAACAGAGTCACACTCAAAATAGAGCCTTGAGGAACACCTTCTTGTTGCGTGAAAGGCCTAGATAAAGTGTTGCCCATCCTGACTTGGAATCTTCGATTCTCTATGAAGTTTTTTATGAAAATTGGCAAATTACCCCGAAATCCGAAATGGTCCAGATCACGGAGTATCCCATATCGCCAACAGCGATCATAGGCCTTTTCTATATCAAAAAACACAGACACTAAGTGTTGTCGTCTAACAAACGCTTCGCGTATACTTGTTTCAAGGTTTACTAAGTTATCAGTGGTACTTCTGTTCCTACGAAAATCACTTTGATGTTGTGAAAAGTATTCATTTTTCTCTAAGAGATACATCAGACGTCTGTTTAACATCCTCTCAAAGAATTTACAGAGACAACTCGTCAGAGAGATTGGTCTATAATTTAAGGAATTCTTGTGGTCTTTACCAGGCTTCTAAATGAGAATAATGATCAATAGCCTCCAAGAGTCAGAAAAAGTATGTTCTGTCCATATTCTGTTAAACAGGTTTAGAAGATTACAAAGGGAATTGTTTGACAGATTTTTAATCATGCTGTAGTGGATTTTATCTGGGCCTACAGCACTATTCCCCGAGCGAGAGATCGCTGTATGTAGTTCTATGTTAGTGAATGGCACATTATATTCCTCATTAGATGAAGAATGGAAATTTAAATATTGTTTTTCGCTTTGGGCTTTATAAGCCTGAAAATTTCTTGAATACATAATATTACTGGATGAAGACAAAAATGTTTCTCCCAATAAATCAACAATACCCTGTATATTGCTGACTATTGTGCCATTATTTTCTAGCATGGACAGAGAGTGAGAAGCATATTTTCCATTAATTTTATGGATTCTATCCCAAACTGCTTTTGAGCTAGTGGAAGATGTTATGCTAGAAACATACTTCCTCCAAGGATCCCTTTGGCTTTGCCTTCTAACTCTTCTGGCATTTGCCTTTGCTTTTTTAAAAGCAATCAAATTTCTAGCAGTGGGGTATCTTCTGAAAATCCCCCATGCTTTCTTTTGTGCTTTAAATGCTGCCTCACAATTCTGGTTCCACCATGGTTTCGGATGCTTTGGGTATCTTGTTGATGTTTTCCCCATTGTTTTTTCAGCTGCCTGAATAATAGTAGAAGTGACAAATGCAACTGCATCATTGATATCAGCAGTATTGACCATTTCCTCAGTGATGTTAGCCAAAGAGGAAAATGCAGGCCAATCTGCTGTTTCCAGTTTCCAGCGTGGTGGACGGGCTGTTTCACAGCTTTCTCTGCCTCGTTATTTTAGAAATATTGGGAAGTGGTCGCTAGAGAGTGGATTAGATCCAACCTCCCATGTAAATGCTGAAAACAGATTCGGAGTTGCTAATGATAGATCAATGGCAGTGAACGTTCTTGATGGGGCATGAAAGTATGTCACTTCTCCAGTATTAAATAGGTACAGTTGGTGATTACCTATAAATCTCTCAATGGCTCTGCCTCGACGATTGATGTCGGGACTGCCCCGGATAGGATTGTGACCATTGAAGTCACCCAGTAAAAGAAATGGTGTTGGTAGCTGTTCAACCAAAGTATCCAATTCATTCTCATTCACTCTGACATCTGGTGGGGCAAGTATATAGAACAAACTGTGACAGTTACTCCAATAGATATTCTAGCTGCCACGGCTTGCAAATTAGTTGTGATTTGTACCGGCAAGGATGGGATGTGATTTGAAACTACAATAGCCACACCTCCACTGGCACGGTTGTGGCTATCATCATCCTTGCGGTAGAGATGGAATCCTTTTAATGAAATATGGACAACCTTAAGACAAGGATCCTTAATGCTCGGGAGAAAGGTAAACACAGCATTTTGGTCACAATTGATTTTAAGGGCGCCTTTGACCACGCTTGGTGGCCAGCTATCCTGGCCAATTTGAGGAGTGACAGGTGTCCAGGGAATATTTACAATCTAACTGCCAGCTACCTTCAAGATCGTAGCATCATGGTTGACACTGGTAACAACACTTATCATCACAGTAATATCCGTAGGGGCTGCCCTCAGGGCTCCAAGTCTGGACTGTATCTCTGGAACATTTTGTACAACAACCTTCTGAAGCTTCAAGATAACTTTCCACCTGAGCATTAAGTGCTCATCCAGGAATACGTGGATGATACAGCTCTTATCTTGAGTCATGTCAACCATGAGGTACTTCAGGAAAGGGTAAACTCAACTCTCAATAATATCTCTGACTGGTGTGATAGTAATAAGCTTAGAATTAACTACAAGAAATGCAATGTCATCGGGTTCCCAAAGGGCAACATCCTAAAAAAGGGACCTAGTATAAAATCAACAATACCAGAATTAAGAATGCTACCTCGGTTAAATACCTGGGCATTATGTTAGATCCAAAGCTAAATTGGACCGAGCATATACGAAAAGGCGGTCAAGATAGCCCAGACACTCAAGACTATATGTAGAAACCAGTGGGGCTTTAATCCCTCTACAAGTAGAATATTATACTGTGATGCTATTGAGCCCATTGTCACATATGGTGCTGAAATTTGGGGCTCTTCTGTGAAAAGAATACATATTAAAAGGAAACTACTCTCTATCCAAAAACTGATGGCAATCAACATTGCTAAGTCCTACAAGACTGCTCCTACGGAGGCCTTGCTTGTTATCAATCGTACTCTCCCTATCGACTTAAAGATAATAGAAATCTACATCAGATATAATCTTTTAAGTTAGCGGATAACCACATCAACACACAGCAATTCAATGCCACTATCAAAAAAGAAGACTGTGAAGAAAAGCTCATTGCACTAGCTGAATTTATTGCCACCAATGGTGCTGATATGTCCAGCCTCCCCTCTCACTACCACCCGAGCTTTGCTCCCAATGTGAATTATGACTCAAACTACAGTGACAAGCAAGTCATCTCCATTTTCACTGATGGATCCAAATCTGACCAAGGTGTTGGGAGTGCCTTCGTAGTAAATAATGGTCAGCATTGCCTTCAGCAGTGGTCCAGAAAACTGGCCTCGCACTGCACCAATAACCAGGCGGAGTCACTGGCAATTCAACACGCCATTAACTGGATTGTGAATGCTCATCATAATTGGCCCAACTACAGCTTTCACATATTTAGTGACAGTAGGGTTGCCCTGCAACAAATTGCCAAAATCAACTCCAAACTACCTATCATCAAGAATTGTATTAGTAATCTTCAGGATCTTACAAACTTAAACATAAGGGTCTACCTTCACTGGACTAAGGGACATGCTGGGAACGAGAGGGCTGACCTTCTCACCCGTGGTGCTCCTTTAAAGACTTCCAGCCACTCCTACGATAAAGTCAGTAAAAAGCTCCTGAGTAGTCTTATCCATAAAATTATGCTAAATACCTGGAAAATCAGGTGGGACAATGGTGATACGAGTAGACTTACACACAGCTTTTTCCCCTGTCCCACAGACAACGTATTTAATCCTTTACTTCCAAGCTTTCAGCTTACACAGCTTCTCACCGGGCATGGAAATCTTAACACATATCTCAAACGTTTCCTTGATAAAACTGATGGTATGTGCAACTGCAGCATGAATGAAGAAGAAGAACCCAACCACATCATTTTCCACTGCCCACAGTATGCCAGGCAACGTAAGAAGCTTTCTGATACTGTCATAGACAATGGCTTCCATTGGCCATGTATGTTAAAAGACTTCACCAGTGAAAAGAAAATCTTCGTTGCTCTTAAAAACTTTGCCACGGAGATCAAGAAACTGGATTAGCTGCTCTCAGCTTTTCTTCTTGGTCCTCCCTGCCTCAATTTGTCCGCTGCGGACACCTTAACTTTGTCTCTACATAACCTGTTTTAATGTTTTTTGTCTCAACTACTGTCTTTGCTGTATTAATCAATCATTAAGCTGTTCAATAATGTATTCGCGAACACACTTGTCCCTTTCCGGACAGCTTCCTCTGTTTTATATTGTAATCTTTCCATGTGTTCTGTATGTCATTTAATTACGGTTATCAACTAATATTATTGTACACTACCGCTTTTAGCACTCATTGTTGCGCTATTTTGCTGTTCACTCATTTATCATTGCATTTGCACTTATGTTTTGCCCATTGCCCAGCCTTCATGCGCACTGGACGTTATCATTTAGTTCTCAAGTATCTTTAACATTTATGTATTAATACTGTCGCGTCATCTTGTTACGTCCTTCTGTATTTTATCTCTGTATCATAATATTTTGTAAGTTGCATCTTTTGTATAGTTGTCTATTCTATGTAACTTTGATGGCCTCTTTGTAGTCTTACACCATTTGTCGCTTCACTGTTCATTTATTATCATTGTATGTAATGTTTTCATTTGTGTACTTGTGCACCTTATATATCTGTACTGCTATTGTCGTGCCATTTATCATGTTAATCTGTTCCCACTGTATCCTACTGTATGCACTGTCCTATATTATGTATCCATTTGTATTGTCTTATTTGTTTAATAAAGACCGATGCAGGGCACTCATGGGGTCCCATGACCCTAGGTTGACTATTTTCCTTCTTTCCTATCATACCTTAAACTCCCCTTCTCTCTAACCTCTTCTAATTACGCTTTAAATCTTCCTCCTCTTCTTGTCTAAAACAGGCTATACCTCCGAGTTCAACCTCGTTTTCTTTCTCAGCACTGCCTTTCCCTGGCAAGTTCTGCTTCTGAAGAGGTAGGTTGTGTATTTCTGAGCTCCAGACAGTGAATTTTCTATGTTTTGTGTGCTAGGCCTAACTTTAGGCTTAACTAGTTTGTTTGTTTGTTTGGTTTTTTGGCGCAAGAGCCATATAGGCTAAGCTGAGCCAAAGCAAATGGTGAAAAATTTTCATATAACAAAATTAAATAAAAAAGTAAATAAATAAAAAAACAAAGAATATATACAATAATTTAAATAAAACTGTATAAATACATACATATAATAAAATACATACAAATCTCTTAATACTTATTAATAACATAAAAAATATATCACAAAATTACATAAATATATAAACAACAACTAAAATTATATACAATATAAATATGCAAAACAAGGTAAATAAAACTGTAAAATAAATAAATAAGTGATCAAATCTCTCTATACAAATTATTGACTTTCAGAAAGTCCACTATGTTGTCCAGATTTGGCCTTTTGCCCAAAATCTCTCTCAAATTTGCATTTCCAAAATGCTGTCTACGACTTTGATCGTAAGCAATGCAGTGGCAAAGTATGTGTTTTACGCTTAAAAAGCAGTTGCAATACTCACATACTGGCTGGTCTTCACCCTTCAAAAGGTATTCATGAGTCAACCGAGTATGTCCAATTCTCAAGCGAGTAAGAATAACTTCAGATCTCCTGTCATACTGTTTCTTACGTGTCCAATTTTCTATCATAGGTTTGATCTCGTGTAGTTTATTGTGGACTTGTGCGTTCCACGTCTTGCCATCTCTCTGCTAGTCGTTTTTTAACAACTAGCTTCAAATCACCTCCTTCAATACGCAGTGTATGCTGTGAAGGACTTGCTGACTTAGCAGCTGTGTCCGCGTCGTTACCTCTTATACCCACGTGGCCTGGGCCCAACAAAACTTCACAGAAAAATTTCTCGTAGTAAGATGGCAAATTAGTTTTCAAATTTTAGTAACTATGGAGTGAGAACTAGGTTCATACAAGATCAGAGCCCGAAAAGCACTAACTGAGTCAGTGTAAATAACGCAGCAACGATGACCTTTTCTATTTATATACTTTAGGGCTAAATAAATAGCCCGCAACTCCGCAGAAAAGATGGAAGAATTTGGTGCTATTTGTTCTGCCACAATTTCATTTTGGCAAACAAAGGCTAAGCCAACATAGTTATCAGATTTAGATCCATCAGTATATATTGGAATTAGATTCCTGTCACAATGTTGAATTTTTGCAAAGTGCTGTCTGTAAACGTAGTCTGGAGTGGATTCTTTAAAAAATTGCTTTAAGCTAAGGACAACATTTATCACTGGAGTTGACCAAGGTGTTATACTATCAACCTCTAGCTGTGAAATGTTGCTTGTGTCAAGGTCGATCATGCTGCTTACATTCTCCATTCTGATGGCAAATGGGGGGACACTACTTGGGCGAGCTTCAAATAACCTTTTCAGCTGAATATCTAATACTGTACAATCAACTGAAGGTTTAGTAAAAGATTTTTGTTTTATATAATAAAAAAGAGACAACTGTTCTCTCCTGACTGATAGTGGAGGCTCATAACCATCCACATACAAACTTTGAACAGGGGAAGTTCGAAATGCACCGGTGCACAAACGCAAAGCTTGATGATGGATTGGATCCAGCATCCAAAGAGTAGATTCTCGCGCAGAGCCATAAACAATGCAACCGTAGTCCAGCTTAGAGCAGACAAGGGCCCTATAAATCCTGAGCATTGAAACTTTATCTGCTCCCCAGAATGAGCAGCATAATACCTTTAAAAGGTTTAGAGATTTTAAACATCTACTCTTCAGGTTGCGCAAGTGCGGCAAAAATGTCAGTTTTTGGTCAAAACAAACACCCAAAAACTTAGTCTCATTCACCATTGGAATTTTATCCCCATTTAGGTAAATTTCTGGATCCAGGTGCAAACCACGCCTTCAGCAAAAGTGGATACACGAGGTCTTCTCTATGTTGAAATTAAAACCATTAATCTTTGACCAATGGTCTATGCGATTTAGGGAGATTTGCAGTTGTCTCTCGATAAAACTCATGTTGCTAGACTGGCAGGAGATCTGAAAGTCATCCACATACAAAGAGTGTTTCACACTATAGGGAAGACAGTTAGCTATGCTATTAATTTTAATTAGGAACAGAGTCACGATCAAAATATAACCTTGAAGAACACCTTCTTCTTGGGTGAAGAGCCTAGATAGTGTGTTGCCCATCCTAACTTGGAATCTTCAATTCTGTAGGAAGTTTTTTATAAAAATTGGCAAATTGCCCCGCAATCCAAATTGGTACAGATCACGGAGTATCCCATAACGCTAACAGCGATCATAGGCCTTCTCTATATCAAAAAATACTGACACTAAGTGCTGTCGTCTAACAAACGCTTCGCGTATAGATGTTTCAAGGTTTACTAAGTTATCAGTGGTACTTCTGTTCCTACGAAAACCACTCTGATGTGGTGAAAAGTATTCATTTTTCTCTAAGAGATACATCAGACGTCTGTTTACCATCCTCTCAAAGAGTTTACAGAGACAACTTGTCAGAGAGATTGGTCTATAATTTGAGGGATTCTTGTGGTCTTTACCAGGCTTCGGAATGGGAATAATGATCGATAGCCTCCAAGAGTCAGGAAAAGTATGTTCTGTCCATATTCTGTTAAACAGATTTAGAAGATTACAAAGGGAATTGTTTGACAGATTTTTAATCATGCTGTAGTGGATTTTATCCGGGCCTACAGCACTATTCCCCGAGCGAGAGATCGCTGTATGTAGTTCTATGTTAGTGAATGGCACATTATATTCCTCATTAGATGAAGAATGGAAATTTAAATATTGTTTTTCGCTTTGGGCTTTATAAGCCTGAAAATTTCTTGGATACATAATATTACTGGATGAAGACGAAAATGTTTCTCCCAATAAATCGACAATACCCTGTATATCGCTGACTATTGTGCCATTATTTTCTAGCATGGACAGAGAATGAGAAGTATATTTCCCATTGATTTTATGGATTTTATCCCAGACTGCTTTTGAGCTAGTAGATGATGTTATACTAGAAACATACTTCCTCCAAGAATCCCTTTGGCTTTGCCTTCTAACTCTTCTGGCATTTGCCTTTGCTTTTTTAAAAGCAGTCAAATTTTCAGCACTAGGGTATCTTCTGAAAATCCCCCATGCTTTCTTTTGTGCTTTAAATGCTGCCTCGCAATTCTGGTTCCACCATGGTTTCGGATGCTTTGGATATCTGGTTGATGTTTTCCCCATTGTTTTTTCAGCTGCCTGTATAATACTAGAAGTGACAACTTCAACTGCATCATTGATATCAGCAGTATTGACCATTTCCTCAGTGATGTTAGCCAAAGAGGAGAATGCAGGCCAATCTGCCGTTTCCAGTTTCCAGCGTGGTGGACGGGCTGTTTCACAGCTTTCTCTGCCTCGATATTTTAGAAATATTGGGAAGTGGTCACTAGAGAGTGGATTAGATCCAACCTCCCATGTAAATGCTGAAAACAGATTCGGAGTTGCTAATGATAAATCAATGGCAGTGAACGTTCTTGATGGGGCATGGAAGTATGTCACTTCTCCAGTATTAAATAGGTACAGTTGGTGATTACCTATAAATCTCTCGATGGCTCTGCCTCGACGATTGATGTCAGGACTGCCCCACATAGGATTGTGACCATTGAAGTCACCCAGTAAAAGAAATGGTGTTGGTAGCTGTTCAACCAAAGTATCCAATTCATTCTCATTCACTCTGACATCTGGTGGCAAGTATATAGAACAAACTGTGACAGTTACTCCAATAGATATTCTAGCTGCCACGGCTTGCAAATTAGTGGTGATTTGTACCGGCAAGGATGGGATGTGATTTGAAACTACAATAGCCACACCTCCACTGGCACGGTTGTGGCTATCATCGTCCTTGCGGTAGAGATGGAATCCTTTTAAAGTAATGCTTTCTCCAGGTTTCAAATGAGTCTCCTGGAGTGCCACACAGAGAGATGAGGTAGATGACGTCAAGTGTTTAATGTCAGAGAAGTTGTTGCGGAAACCACGACAGTTCCATTGGAT